TTAGCAGGAGTGTGAGGTTGTGACAAAGTATCTACAACACTAGTTGAATAATCTGTATTGCTACCGTACGTAGATGTTGGATAGGAAGGAATTGAGGTGACATGAGAATTAAAATTGTTAGGTGCAAAATTGGAACTTGTTGTTGTTGCATATAAAATGTTCGTGTTTTTCCTATTGAAAGAGGAAGGCTGAGGTGCCTGATTGGTCGTATTATACAGTGTGTTGCTGGGTGTGTAGCTTGAGTTTTCATAGGACGAGCTCTGCGAGTTGAATGTATCAAGGGAAAGATGAGGACGTGATGGAGGTATTGAATTCACTGGTTGAGAAGCTGTAATACTATTAATATTGTTAAAACTGGTAAATTGTGGTTGATGGGAGAGCTGCTGTTGTTGCTGTGATGCAAGGAGAGCCTTTTCGTTTTTCAACATGTTAATTGTTTCTCGCAAATTTGCAATTTCTCTTCTTGACATGTCTAGTTCTTGTGAAAGTTGTTGTTGCTGATTGAACATGGCTTGTTCTCTCTCTTGATTGAACATGTTTTGATTGTGAGACATTCGCGAAATTTCTTCTTCCAATGTTTGCACACGAGCTCTCAATTGATCATTTGTCTTTTCAAGCTGAATTCGAACAGTATCTAAGGAATTATGTCTCTGTGTGATATTTTCATTTTCACGAAGAAGTTGTTTGGATTGATGTTCCAAATTTCGTAATTTTTCTTGTAATTGTTGATTATTTCGTTCACTCTCTGTGTACATGGCAAAAGCTTTCTCTCGTTCCTCAATGACCTTCATTTCCTTCTCTTTGAGAGATTTAATTTCTCGTTCTTGTGTCTCAATCTTGTTGCTGAGTCCGTTCAAATTGTCTTCCTTACTTCTGATCTTGGACTCCATTTCTTTGGATTGTCTTGTTGCTTCCGACAACAAGTGTTTCAGACGCTCAATTTCATCCTGAAGTGTTAATTTTTCATGTTCAAATTGTTGAAGAGATTTCCTCTTTGTTCGAGCTCTTGAAGCAACTTGTTAGTGTCTTGACCGTCCTTACTTTTATCCAACAGTCCAATCTCTGACTTGAGCCTCTCATTTTCTCTTTGAAGCTCGGTTATTTTAGAATCTTTTTCATCCAAAATTTTTTCCATACGTTGTTGTTGAGATTGTATCTCCAAGTTATGTCTATCAGTGAGGCTGTGAATTTTGTCATTGTGAAGCTTTATCATTTCGTTTTTGTCTCGTTTCAGTTCATTGATCTCGCCCTGAAGTCGAAGATTTTCCTCTTGTAGTCGTTTCATTTCTTTCAGAGAGGAAGACGAAGGAGCTGATCTATTTCGAGAAAGTGTTTGTTTTTGAGATTTGTACTCGTGTTCTTCAGAATCTTCTTGGTCATTTGAAAAAACGAGATTATTGTTTTCTTCGATATGCTCTTGCTCATCTTCAACAATTTCATGCGTTGGTTTTTCTAGCAATTTTTTAGGATATCGGGCTTGTTTCCTTAATGGTTTTTTATCGTTCACATTGGGAGAATCCTCTTGAACTTTTGTCTCTTCGACCACCGGCGAACGATACTGCCTTGATTGTGGTGGCAACTGTGGAGGCGACGCCGAGTCGGAAGACGAGTCATTATCTCGTCTCTGGTTAAAATTATTGCTTGGCAAAATTCTTGATGATAGGGTTCTCCTATGCTTGGCTCCAGATCGAGGAGGTTGTCTTGCCTTAATTGGAGATTCATGAATCGAAGTAGGTGTGTCATCGTCTTGATCAAGTGTTTCATCTTGTTCTTCCACATCATGCATTTCCTGATGCTGATTATATTTTGCATGAATTGGAATTTCATCAAAATCATTTTTCATGCTTTGCTTAACGACTGGCTTGAATAATTTTGTATTTTGTACCACAAAATTTTCATCCTCTTCATGATGGATAGACTCGTTGTTGGTTGAATTTTTCTTGTTCAAGTATCGTGTCATTTCGTACAAGGATGAAGGCTCCTCCTCCTCTTCGGAGATGACATTCTCTTCGTCCTCATCGATAGCGTTTTGAATGGAGGATGATGCAGAAGAGGGCCGTCGCTTAAGGCTCCCAATCATTCTGGAAGAAGAACTAGGAATATTTAATGGTTGTTGCTGCTGCTGATGAACTGCATGGTGATTATTTCTTCCTTGTTGACTCCGATGACTTGTGTGTGCTTGAGAGGATGAGATAGGTTCTCGATAGGAAGAGGCTCTCATCTGCGCAGATGTTGATGCAGTGGTAGCAGTGGATGACCTCCTACTCTCCACAATTTCAATTGGAATATCCCGAACCGATGATGAAACTGATGGTGTTTGTGTAGTAGAGGATTGAAAAAAGGCAGGATTCATCATTAACCGATGATGATGATGCGATTGAGGATTCTGATTGTTGTTGGGATTGAATTTGGACATCATTTTTTTAGGCGGGAAATGATTTTACATGTAATAATGTGTGGACAGGTGAAAAGTGAGATCTTCTTCACCATTCTCTTAGGCATGATGCGACAGGAAGTTTTTGGGTGACGTCAAGCCAGTTTCTCTGTAGAAAAGGACTTTCGATGGACTAATTCTACTATTCCATTATCCAATTCGCGAATCTCAGCTCACGAAAAACCCGTTTCGCAAAAGACACATTCTCTCCAACAATAATCTCCGAAATATTGGTTCTTCCACAACATCAAACAATGGATGGACCGATCAACGTCATTTCCTTCGTTCCTTTTACTATTCCACAGGAGGTCCTTATTGGAGAAATAACACTAGATGGAACACTTTGGATACCAAAGAGGAGACGAATTATTGTTCATGGCGAGGTGTGACATGTGTCAAAGATGAATCGGTTCTTGCTATTGCTTTGGTGAATAATAACTTGACAGGTCTATTACCTTTAGGTGTTTCTGTTTTGAGGAATTTAATGATTTTGGATTTGGGTTTTAATAATTTATATGGACAAATTCCAAAGGAATATTCGGAATTGGAGAGTTTGAATGGTATTGCTATTGGAAGTAATCATTTTGAAGGAATGTTGCCAGAAGGATTTTGTAATATTTTGAGTTGTGACGCATATAATAATCCAAAATTGAAATGTCCTCCAAATAATTGCAGAAATAATCATTGTAATATGGCTCAATGTAATTGTGGAGGAATGCAAATGTGTAATGATGATCACGATTGTGCTGGAAAATTATGTAGCAAGTGCAAACAACAAGGATGTAATCCATGGTTTAAAATATGTCAATAAATTTTAACATGACACATTGATCAAAATCAACAAATACATGTCAAATTTCCTTCAAGGTCCTCTCACAAGCTTTCATCATCTCATCGTCACTCTTGTGACGCAAACTCTCGTCATTGTTCCTCAAAATCAGCACATGAGTATTTAATGGATTTTCAACTCGAATTTACTCTCGAAAAAGACCACTAATGCGTTGCCCCAAAACAATCCACATCATCCAGTTGAATCAAGAAAGTTCCTCATAAGAATTTAAATTGTGCTTGGACATTGATTATAAACAAGCCTTACTCTATACAACAACATTTCAAAATCAAGACTTCATTCGTCATTTAATCATCACCTAAGTGCATACAACGACTCTCGTATTCACATTCAAAAAAAAACAACAACACAACCTCTAATATGTTCAGTTGTGTGGTTTGTTATTGCCAAGATGAAATGCAATTCATTCATGGCACAATGTGGAACAAACGACCACTTGAAGGAGAAAACAACCATCTCTCATCTATGTGTATTCATTTCGTCCTCATTCACCATTGTTGTGGATTTGTGTGGAATATTGGACAAGGGATCATGTTTCCAAATATGGTTTTCTTTGAGGTGATAGGAAACGTTGAGACAATCATGATCGTTCTCATGCATCGTTATGCTTCTCATTCCTCAAGAAGAACTTACTGTCCCTCTCCTTCCAATCTTGACCATTCCTTTGAAATCTCATTAAACATGCTTCAAGATATTGAACAAGACCAATGCAAAGGTTTTAAATATCCCTTCACAAGAGTCGACGAGGAAGGTCGATGTGAAATGTGTAAGAATTACAAGTTGAAAATGCTGGCCAAGTCTTTGACTTGCTGTTGCGAAAAGGTTTGGGAGGAGGATAAGGTTTCCTGTCACCAATGCGGGATTGTCATGGACCATGAATTTGAATTGTATGGTTTTACGATTCACCATTTGGATTATCAAAATCCTTCTCGTGTGGAGAGAATATTCAAAACCGAATACTTTTCTTCTCGTTTGGAAAAGTATGGGGATTTTTTATTATTCTGAGATCAGAAACAGCAACAAAAGTCGGATCAGCGTCAGCAGGTGTTGTTGAATGAGCAGCAACAGACACAACAAGTAACTCTGTTTCAGTTGAAGGAGTTGTTGGAGGAAATTAAAAATAATAAACATTAATTCCGTTTGTGTTCATTTCTCACAAAATTTCATTTGATCTATCTTTTATTCATTTTTCATTACCACATTAGAGTACAGATACAACCTCTTCAGGCTTGACTTCTCACGTCTACTTTTGGGATCATATTTAATTCAAAACACATCCCACTTGATTCCTGAAAGAAAGAAAATAATTACACCCATTGTATCGAGGACCATCTTGAAATTAATCCAACCCCTGTAGCCACATCAAACAGTTACTTAGCATGTTCATACAGCCATCGGTATGGATTAACCTTAAATTGACTACTAAGGTCAAACAGATCAAAAAGCACTGCCCACCTTAAAAAAACCAGAAACTCAACACTTTTATTGAAAAGTACTTCCATGGTTGAGCAGTGAGCTCGAATAAATTCTTTTGATTCTTCAGAGTGAATGCATCCATGAACGCAATGCAGTGGATCCACAGCCATAATCGGAAAATCCATTTTAAAAACTTGATATGTATTGAAGTTGCAAATTCCATTAACAAGTGCAAGATATTGTTTACCGACTTGAATCAAATTAAAGAGTGACATACAACAATTTAATTCAAGCATAATCTTGCTTGCGAGTTTGTTGGCCATGTTACATTTTAATTTTGTAAAGAATTGAGTGTTTGAGAGGAACATTGATTCAGCTTTGTCATCCATATTGTTGCAGCGCCTTTTATTGTGCTTTCTTACAGGATAATTGTGTCAATGCATTCAGTACTTGAGAAATATTTGGTCTCTCTGAGGGATCCTGTTGCCAACACCATGAAATTAATTCTACAATCTCTAATTGTTGAGGAACAAGAACAAGTTGAGGAGACAATTCGGGTCGTTCTCCATTAGCAACCTTCTCTAAAATTGTCTTGGGTTGTGTACCTTTCCATGGATTCCTCTGTGTAAATATTTCATATAGGACAATACCAAACGCAAAAATGTCCACAGCCGAAGTGAGTAAGTACTTCCGTTTAGGTAATAAAATTTGCTCTGGTGATTTATACTGCACCAGTACTGCTGTTTCTGCAGAACTAACATTTGGATTGTAATATTTGATTAATGCAGGTGGAATAATAAGATTTTCAGTTGATTGTGACGGCGAAATGTCGCTGATTGGTCCTGATGCTGCTACATTACACACATAGCAAGTACTTGAGTCCACCAAGAACTTGGTTTGGAATTCATCAGCAAGCATAATGTTCGCGCTATTCACGTTAACATAAATCATTTTCTTTTCGGTATGTAAATAATGCAATGCCTTTGCAGCGCTAATAGCAACTCTATAAATGATCTCTGGATCCCTTAATTGCTCTTTCAAGTTGTTTGTGTCTAAACTTGATTTTTTCTTTGCTGGTGGTTTAAAAAGAATGTCATAAAGGAATCCATATTTGCAGTGCTCCATTAGAATTTTGAATTGAAATTTGTCAGCTCGAAGGCCATATCCAATATGATCAACAATAGATGGATGTTTCAATGTACAAAGCAAGAGAGCTTCTCTCTTCCACGATTCAAGCTGTTCTGGTTTTGAAAAAATAACTGTCCTCACAGCATAACATTGTTGGTTATATATACATGATCTTAATACATAATTGTGTCTTCTATCGACGACTTTTTCTTCTATCACCATTGAATCATAATCTGGTAAGAAATATTGACTCTCTAGCTGTGTGAGCAGGTCTTTATCATTTCCAAATAGCATGGAAAGAGTATCACCTTGTTGAGATTCAAAATTTCTCTTTTCGGCATCAAAAATAAGTTTTTTCAAAAACTTGATTACCTCAGTTACTGATATCAAGGATGAATCGTTGTGTGAGGATCTGAGTTGGCTGTCAACAACACAATACTGTATAGATTGTTGATGGGTGAAATTTGAGGTTTTGTTTTGAAATGCCCCAGCTGCTGTGACGTTGTTGCTAATGTCAGCGGAAGGACTTGCACCTTGTTGTCGCGTGACACTATCCGTTATTCCTTGTCCATGAATGCTTATCAATGATATACTCAAATTCTTGTTTGGAAATTCAGGAGGAACAGTCACTGCAAATTTATAATGAGTATAGTTCAACGAAGACTCAGTAGGACATGGCAACACATCCTCATCTCTATCCATGTCATCTGTGTTTTCAATGGGTTTTTTGTTTTCTCCTTTTGAAGCATTAATGATTTGAAGTTTTTGTACAGGAGTAATAATTTGTGTTGAGAAGCGAAGTTCAAACACGAGCAAATTGTTCACGTCAGGAAAGTTTAGTTCCGTGAAATAATACAAGCAGTAGTTCGTAGTTCCGGTACTTGATGAAGATATCGAACAGTCGTCGCCTCTTCCATTAATTTCATCATCGGCCACTGAGTGTCTATCGATGGGTATTGAAACTTGTTTTTGTATAATTTCCTGAATTTGAATTTTGGTTAGAAGGTTGGGTTTACTCAGTGGTGATACCGATTGAGGAGTGTCGGCTGCAGCTGCTGTGTGTTGTTGTTGTTGTTTAATATTTTCAATTTGTTTCTTTCTCCACATGATCTGTTGTTGTGCGTTGTTCACTATAATAAATAATATTATTAAAAGGGATGATGAAAGGACTTTAGGGTTATTGTTGTTGATGATGATGGCCGAAACGTTTTTTGAAATAAATTACGGTAATATTAAAATGTGTGATGGCTTGATAGTAATCTCTTTCGTGAATTTCAAATTTGGATGGCTCTCTCAATTTTGTGGTGTTCAAACAATACAAAAAGAGAAGCACCAAGGAGAGATGATGATGCAATTATTATTTTCTGAATCTCAAAATTGATGAAGCCTTGATTAGGGAATGGTTCAATGAAAGGTGTTGGTGATGGTGATGGAATGGTGATGAACACACGTAATTTTGTCTCGATTCAAACTCACAAGATAAATATAACTTGAAACTGCAAAGTCTTTTCTCTCTGATTGTTGTTCGATGATTTTTTTCAGCCATTTCTGTGTTTTGGGAAACTTCAACTTGGAAATTCGCATCCACATATTCTCTTCTTATTATCGAATTGTTCCTTTGAACAAGGCACAGTCCACACAGAGCTCGAGTAACTGCGTTGCTTTATCATGCTCTCGGTTGAAGACATGAGGTTTTGCTTCGGATCTGGGTGAGGAGAAGAATCTCTCAATTTGCACCAATTAAAAGTTAGATTCAGTTTATTTCCAAATAAAATCATTTGTCTTTGTGAATATAAAGTGACAAATTGATCAAAGTTTAAGCTGTCTTTAGATTCAACAACTTGATCACTCTTTGATGAAGCATTCAGATCGTTAATGAGATGACTAATATCCTTCTTGGTTGTTTCTTTTTTTCCTAACTTTGAAAACACGTCAGGGTTTTGTGAAAAAGGAGCACCCAGATCCAGCGTCATCTAGTTCTCCAAAGTTACATCTTGAATTAAGGATCATCGGCTTTCAAGATCGTCATTTTTGTATTGCCTATATATCAAAAAAACGTTGTTCTTGGTTTGGATGGGTTTATTTGTTGGGTTATTGTAGCTGTGGTTTTGGTTTGGGTTGTTGTTTGGGTTTTGGGTAGGTTTGGTCAATTCAACAAAATATATTTGTATGCCATTATTATTATGTAATCCCGATGGGTTTCGTCACAGTTCAGCTCGATTCGGTGAGGATATGTGCTCCAAAACTCCCACCTGATTCGGAGTTGCATGGCTGCTGGGCCCCATCCTGGCTGAAGGAGAGGAGAAACGTTTATTTGAATTAATTCGAAAAGCACTCTTAGTAAAAATAATTACAACCTTGTTCAAGACATGCCTTGCCCAAACCATACCCTTACTCTGATATTACCCTCACTTGTCCTATATTCATGGCCATCCCTCGAAAGAAGAAGAAGAATAGCACCACCAAGAGAAAACAAACCTCTCCCCATCAAAATGGTCCTAATCAAAAGAAACAAGGCTCTTCAACAAGGCCATCTTCATCCACTTTGAATGAAACAACAAGGGGACCGAACATGTATGGAGGTGTTCAACTGCCATCTTCATCCGTATGGAATGAAACAACCTCCTCCATCAAGCAGCAGTCCAATCTCGTACATTGTTAAATCCGACTGATCGGATTCAGGGGCATCTTGTTGATTCCTTTGAAATGGTGAACCACAACGACTTGAATGATCAGGAGGAATCCTCTCTTCGGGGAGATATTTATGATCTAGAAACTAGCAATTTTGTTTGGGAAATCAAAAGTAAGGTTGAGAAAACCCAAACGAGAGTATTGTTTTGGAAACCCCAAACAAGAGTTAGTTTGTGGACACCTCAAACAAGAGTAGGTTTGTGGATACTTAAACCAAGAGTAAAATGGTTTTGGATACTTCAAACCAGAATAAGGTTGTGGAAACCCCAAACCAGAATAAGGTCATTTCTGAAATCAACAAGAGTAACAAGGTTTTGGAAATACCAAACAAGCATGCATCTCACAAGAATCTCATCACCGACTCTTCACTCAATCAGGTGTCTCCAAACAACCAACTCTTCACTAAACCTAACAATCGACACCCCATCTACCTCAAGACTCGATCTTGCAAGGCCATTCCCTTAAAGGAATACCAAGCAAGGATGGCAAGTACTATTGATGAAACCCAATCAACAACACCATCACTCCCCAAAGGAGTCCTCACCACTGGAACCTCACCTCTCTTCATTCCCTTTCCTAAAGGAATTGATCAACAAACTCTCCCCAAAGACAAGTTCACTTGTACTATCGTTGGCTCATTGAAGAATTGTTAATGATTGATAAATTGGGAGTGGAATTCTTTTACAACATGTTAGACTTGTCTGAAAAGGTTTGCGAAAAGGTTTGGGAGGAGGATAAGGTTTCCTGTCACCAATGCGGGATTGTCATGGACCATGAATTTGAATTGTATGGTTTTACGATTCACCATTTGGATTATCAAAATCCTTCTCGTGTGGAGAGAATATTCAAAACCGAATACTTTTCTTCTCGTTTGGAAAAGTATGGGGATTTTTTATTATTCTGAGGTGGAACCTGTGGTGGTGTTGTGTAAGGGTTGTCATTATTTGGAACATGTCAAGGGGGAGGAGGGGGAAAAGGATATTCATCAGAAGGAGGTGCAACGGAAGGTCGGAAATAAGGATGTGCAGGAACAAAAGGACATGCAATAAAAGGACGGGGAAAAGGACATGTATCATAAGGACTGGGAAAAGGACATGCAACAAAAAGAAATGTCTAATTGGGCCAAATTACATTTGAAGGTGGTTCAATTGTTGGGTGGATCCTGTTCCGAATGTGGTCTCAAGGTGGATGAATTGAAAAGTCCCTCCCTCATGCATGTGCATCATGAGAATCATGATGGAAATGTCATGTGAGAGAGGGTGAGTGAGGAATTGGATGAGGAGGAGTTGGATGTTGCGTTGAATGTGAATGAATACAAATACTTGTTACAAAACAAGGACAATGTAAATGTCCTCTCCCAAAATGATTGTTTGTGTGCCAGTTGTCATTATATGGAACACATGAACAAGCATATCAAGTTGGTGCTGAATAAGGAAGGGAATGAAGGATATTTGGAAAAGGTCAAGCAGTGCTATAGTTTGAGAAGGGAGTAGTTGAGTTGATCATTAAGAAAATAAAAAGAAATTCTACACCTACAAGGAAGCAGATTAAATCCTCCCATGATGGATGTACCTTGAGCTCCTCTGAAAGATTCTGTTAGCAATTCCACCCAACGGCACTTGAGTTCTATTTTTCAACACAAAATCTTCAATTTCAGTGTTGTCACCACATGCATAAATGTCAGGATCCGGTGTTTGACAACAATGCAACATTTTGGAGAGGAGCTACCATTTCCTTGTCCTAAGGACATAGAATTGAAATGCATCAGCAATCATTCACATAATTATTTCTGATGTAAATACACTCATTCATGAGTGTTGAAAAGAACTTACCATTGGTGGCATTACATGATCTAATTACCCTTAACACCGGCATGAGTGATGGCCTCAACAACCTCACATCCAATAAAACCAGCACCAATGATCACACATCTCTTCTCAGGTTTCACATGTTGCTTAATTCGATCCATATCCTCAAGAGAACGCAAAATATGAATTTTTGGATGTTTCACTCCTTCCAGTGGTGGAATAAATGGTTCAACTCCAACGGACAAAATTAACTTGTCATACCATTCGAAATATTCTATGAGTGGTGTTTTGCATAATACTTGTTTTTGGGTTCTATCAAAGGAAAGTACTTCAGTTTCAATACGAAGATCAATATTATATCTCTTTCTGAGAGTGTCAACTCCGGTAACAATTAAACTGTCCCTTGATGCAATTTGACCTCCTAGATAGTAGGGCATTCCACAATTTGCAGAGATAACCAACCATTGCGTGACTAGAAGTAACTTTAACTCTTTCCCTTTTCAAACAAGACAATATTGTCTTTTTCGCAAATTGAACAACGCGAGATTTCCTTCAAGTTAGTAAGATGGAATTGTTACTATTTCGAAGACGTAAACAATAAAAATCGTTTGTTAATTTAAGGAAGGACTAAAGGGTTTGTAGTCTCTCCAAACACCGACCTTGATAAAGTCAATTGACAAAATATGCAGAAAATCCCGCAAACACCGGACCATTATTAATTATTAAGGTCGGGTGTTTGGAGAGACCACAAACCCATTTGTTCCTTTAAATTCAAATTTAACTAAACGTCACACCATCCTGATACAAATTGTTAGTAAGGCGCCATACTTAAGTCAGTTTAGAAGGATCCAACGATAAAATCAACATTGTAACTCCTGAGAAAAATAACTATTAAAAAAATAGCATCATTTGCCATTACGGTTGTCATCCACACACACATATGGAAAATATCATCACAAAATTCCCTATCAGCCTTCTAAAAAAGCTTCCACTCTCCCACCCTACAAACTGGAATTCAGATCGAAAAATTTGCCAAAAGGTAAGTGTTACAATTAAGGTTATAGAGCACACTTGGTGTGTTCTGGTTTAAAGGTGCAAGGAGATGGCACCTTGTCATGATTAACGTGGTTGTGGTTATGGTTTTTTGCTGTCACCCTCAGATACAATCGTTGTCAGCGCAAGCAACGATTGGAGGCATTCAGAAGAGGGCATTACTTTCCATTGTATTCGATTCCTTCTGAATGGGCAGAGTTTTTGGCGTCGTGGGACGTGTGTTTCACTCTGTTCTAAGGTTGTACAGTGGTAAGACATTAGTGTGTTAAGGAGACTTGAAATGGGATCTATGGACCTGCATGAGGTTGGTTATGGAGAACCAGTTGATCATTCTCGCGAAACCTTGATGTCTGTGACATGATGCTTTGCTTGGTAAAGTGCTGTCACTTTGGGTGTCGAAAAATTGTCGGTCTGAAGATATTTTGTATGTAATAGTTACTTTAGACCGACGGACATTTTCAGAACAATGGTAGTTTTACCGGATAATGGATTCCTGAAGGTTTGGGAAAGGCCATTGCTATTATTGCTATTACCCGAATTCGAATTTTTGCTATTATTATTATTAATAGTAGAAGCATGAATGAGTTTATTCATTAGGTTTCTATTAGTGTAACATCAGAATGCGCCTAATGGAAGATTTGAGTTGGCAAATTGATGCTAGATGTTGTGTACTCTATGCGCCGTTAGTTGAATAAACTCATAATTCTTCGATTTTACTCGTTGAATTGCTCAAATGTTGTTTCAGCAACAAATTCTTCTGCCTCTTCAGCTTTTATGAGCTTTTCAACTGTGCATAGGGAAACAATGTCGCTGCAATTAAGTTTGACTTTTGTGAGTTTTAAGATCTCTTCTATTGACATGTTGAAAGAATTAGCATTCCTACTCCCTGCTACATCCATATCTCATCACAGTTATAAGTTTTTTCTGGTGACGAGAACTTTGGTGCTTCTTGTTGTTGAGTATGCATATGATAGCAAAAATATGAAAATGCGCATCATCAAGCAGAAAATAAAATTCAAGAAGAAAAACAGAGAAAAGCATTAGAAGATTCGTCTAATTTAGAAAAAGTCTCAAAGTATTTCAACTTAAATAGTTCAACTTCAAAAGTTTTAGAAGAAATGGAAAGACGAAAAAAGAAAAGTTAGAGAGCAATAAGGAAGAACAGATTTTGGAGGAATATCTTTCCTAAAAGAAAAAAATCGATAGGAATAGATTAAGTAACCAACGTTGTCTTGATTGTTTTCTCTTGTTTCGAAGACGTAAACAACAAGAATCGTTTGGTTAATTTAGAGGAACAAATGGGTTTGTGGTCTCTCCAAACACCCGACCTTTATAAAGTCACTAAACAAATCACAACGCACGAATAAGCAGAAAATTTTTTGAGCATGAAAATATTGTTCGTTGCTCAACCGAACTCTTTTAATGTTTACAATCGAAACATTCATGCCCTTCACTTCGTTCAGAACATATCATGCAGCTTTTGTACTCATTCACAAACTCACACATGGTGGATCAGGAAGAATTATGAATGGAATAATGTGAAATAATTTTATTGCTCTTTCAAAATCCTTTCTCAGCCACTAAAAATTCTGCCGAAAAATATCTTTCAAGGCAGCAACGAAAAATCTTTATTGGAAGCTGTCAAAATACATCCTATCGCCTTGAGTTCGCAGACGAAAGAAAGTTTCGAATTCTTGTCCGAGTGAATTGAGCTCAATGGTTTTTGCCTTGAAGAAATGAGAGAAGATACAGAATATATGGAGGAAGCAGTGAAACAAAATGGTTATGCTTGACAATATTGCGAAGAGTTGTATCAATTACGAATGGAATCGTGTTATTTTGGAAATTACATTTTAAGAAATCGAAACTTTTTTGCAATCCTTTTTTTGAGAAGAGAGAAGAATAATGAAGATGTTGTTGAGTTGTGGAATGAGATGGAATATAATATATTGTTCGCAATCATGTTTTCTTTTTGTATTTCAAATTAATCAAATTATTCAGACAAATTTTGTGGATCCATAAAAAGGCTACAGCACTGCAGGTTCTCAAGTTGACTTCAACCTCAGTACTGATGCAGCTCGACGATGCTTAACTCTCAAATCGGACAGGATTCAATAATACTTTGCAGTTGTATTCAAAATCTCGATAAAAGCCGAAAAATATTTTCCAAGGCAGCAACGGGGGTCGAACCCGCGACCTTCTCCTTACGAGAGAGAAGCTCTACCACTGAGCTATACTGCCCTACGAGGATAGGGGGATGATGTTATTTCCGTGCTGAAAGATTGCAGACAGTAATGAACAACCGTTTCACATCACTCAACGAGACCTTCAAAACACATGTGGTGAATCACTCGATAAAAAATTTGTAAATATGAAACTGATTTGTCAATTGTTTAACACTTTCATAAGTGTTCTCTCCCAACAAGTCTTGAATGGGTTTTTGTTATTTCAGTTCATTAGCAAGTTGTTGCAACTCAATATTGGTGAATTGGTTAGTTTGATTGAAGAAAATCCCTCGCTCAGGAACTTTTTGAAAAATGAGAGCGCTCAGATATCCGGTGCGAGAGAGTGGGATCAAGCTCACGATTCTGCCGGGCCCTCGACCAATGTCATTATCGACAACTAACTATCTCCATTTTTAGTAAATGATACAACAAGACCGCGCCAAAAGGAGGTCAAGCTTTACTCATCTCATCCAGCCTTATCACATTTTTACCGCTTAAATACTACAATCATGATTTGAAACCTTAATTGGTAACTTGTGCATGCTTTGAATGCCAAACCACAAAAAAAACAATTAAAATATTCTCCAAATGTATTGGTGTGTGGCTTATAATTCCAAACCACCCCAAGAGCATTCTGGAGAGTTTGGATCGCAACTACTTGAGAGAGCATTTGCTCACAATTCAGCTTGGAGTATGTATATTCATTTATTCATTTTCCATTAAATAGAAAAATGGTTTGGCCTGGGGGTAAGTGTTTCTGTTCTTTGTTGAGGATTAGATTTCTGTAATGGCAACATTATAACAGTTTCTCATGGTGGTGAATTGTCATCCCTTCGAGAGATTCATTCAAGCATTGAAGAAATATAACCAATTCACTTTCTCTGCCTTTAAGACGAGATCGATTTAGAATGGCTTTCCAAAGACGAAATCGCTGCGATGAAAAGGATATTGGGACTTCTCCGTTCAACAGTATGGAGACTACTTTAATAGTGCAAATACAAAAATAGACACACTGACCTCAAAGTACATGCATTACAAATTGTAAGGATAAACGAACGTCTGGATTCTATTTTAAAGAATTGGAAGAGAAAGCTAATTCAACGTGTTCCAGCTTTGTGGCGATATTGAGGACTTGTTGAATGAAATAAAGAGTTCAGATTTTATTTCAGATAATGCCAACGATGAAATTAAAAGGAAAAGATTGATTGCTGATCATTTTCTACCAACCCCTGTAAACCAAAACGCTGCAAAATCAAATAATAAATCAAAGAATAGTTTTGGATGGAAATTCATGTAATGAACGATATATTAACACCTAAAAAAAAGGACATGGAGGCCAATGATTGAAATAGTAGATAATTCATCAATATCGACCCTGTATGAATGGGGAGAATGCATAACAATGCTTAATTCTCTTCGTTACCGAGAAAACTTTCTGCTGAGGATGCTAATAAACAAGGATCGCAGGATGATTTTATGATGGGTTCAAATCTGCCGATTCAATTTGTTGTTACTAATAGAGTGAGGGCCTCATCAAACCTGCGCCGCAGCGAACAACCATTAAGCCAGGATGGTCCTCGCTGCCAAAGTTGTTAACAGCTCCTCGAGGAAGCCATTTGGGAAAATATTTAATTCTGAGTACAAAGGATGGTTGCCAGTTATTCCTGCTGACTTCCAGAAATCCAGCTATTCTCAAACGATTTGCGGTCATTCTGTCCTGATTTGTTTTTGCATTTACAGAATCTGTTGGAGTCTGCACTTTTGAACCTAGAATTTAGTAATAAGGATTCTAAAGACAAGTGAATTAAGACATTACAAATATGTTTACGGATTGGCGTACACAAGAACATTCCAACTCAATACAGTGGTCTTATGAGTGAGCTGAGTTTTTTTAACTGAGTTTCAGATCTCTTCACATCCTGGCACTTATTCCAGACCCTTGTTCATTGGACTGCAGCAGTTCTTTCCCTCCATCATCACCACTGAACGTTGATGAAGACCTATCAATAAACCAACTCACCCTGTAAAGTGGTTACTGTTGTTGGTGTGCAAACGGTTCATGTACATTTCGAACTTTCCATTACGGAATTGTCGAAGTTTCTTTTGATGCCTGTCTCACTGAGAAACTTTACAACTCCATGATCCTCATTGGTTCATTCAATCAGGGTTACTTTTTGACCACACCAATTCGAAATAAAACCCTCACACATCTATCATTTGGTGAAGGTTATACCAATCCAACTAAAAAAATGTCCGTTTTTGATGCCTTGATTACGTCACTGGTGTTGCATTATTCTCATCATTCGGATTGGAATACCCTCCAACCCTATCGAATCAGCAAGACTTTTTATCAGAGCTTTACATCCGAAGAATTTGCTCGAGAATACGTACGGAATGTATTCTCACTCAATGATCGGCAAACTCTAAAATTACACGAAATGATTCAATATGCCAATCAGTTCTTTCGAAGCTTGGAAGAATCATCACCAAGTAATGAAGAAAAACATTCACTCAAAACTGTTGGCATGCCAAAAAAGAAAAAGAGAAAACAAAACTTCTGTTCACAACAAACATACACCTGTTGGTCCATTTTGAAAACATTTGTGAAATTATACAATACGGATCGTGTCAAGCAAATGAATCATTTCATGACCGATTATTCTTCCATGGCAAAGAAATGGCCAAGAACGAACATTTGTTTACAATTAGATCTGACAACAGACAAGGCAACGAATTGTCTTGAGAAAATGCAAGATTTACTCCATCGAGAACAACAACAAGTGGAATTAATGACGAGAATGCAAGATTTTTTCACAAATCCACAAACTATTTGTTATGACGAAAACATTGAAGTTTCCTCAGAATTGGTGAACAAACTTTTTGGAAAATTGAAGGGTGTGTTTTTGACAAATTTTGAAAACCGTGCCAATGAGAGGATGTTCTTGGAATATGTTGTGTTTTGTGATTGTGGATTTCCTTTAACCATACTTACAGAGAGTTCTAAAAAAGTAGACACTTATCGACGAAGTGTTAGAGGAAGTGAATTAGTATCCATCAATTCCAAAACATTATTTACCAATAACAAATATTATGATGAACGTGGTGAACTCGAAACCGAATTTTCAACCACATACGACTTGAAATTGCTCGACTTTGTCAAGACAGTCCTTCTCGATACAAGTGAGATGAGTCCAGAAGATCATCAAGTCTTTGAATCATCCTCAACGATTGGCTTCAAGTATGGTATCATTTTGTTATTGAGCTCGTTTATCAATGTGGGTATTTTGTTGCCGATTGAGATTGATTTTCCAGAGGAGGGAAATTTGCAACAATTTCCGTATTGTCTTGCTCCACAAATGGATGAGCTTATGGATGATTTTATTGATGATTCAGAGGTGAATAATGAAGAAAGAAAGTCCTGGCAATATTTTTAATATTGGAAATCGTATATTGACCAACAAAATGTTGAAATTGTGTGGAAATGCAAACACCGTAATCTCATCATGGTTATGTTTGTGGTGTTATTGAATATTAAAACATGAATGGTTTTGGAATCACACACATTTTGTAATCCAATCATTAATTTGCCATCATCCAATGAGGAAATTGAATAAGATCGGACAAGAGAGTCATGATGATGGAGATGGCATGAATCCACTCCTCCATCTCCATCATCTCATGCAACACTTTATTCAACACACTCAACACGAACGTTCCATTCTCCTTTCCGAGAAGATTCTTTTACTCCACTTGTTGCCATTCAAACCTTTCACTCTTCAGTACTTTCTCCAATCTGAACACAATCAAAACGATCCGGAAATCATGTCCCGAGCACTCTCCTCCGAAGGTTTATTATTGGAGTTGTTGGCTCATCGAATGAGTTTTGTTCTGAGTCCCATCGATCTACAGAGGCTGTCCCTGAGAATGGAGAGGCTTTGGAGTTCTTTCATTGGCCACCTAATTTCCCATCAAGTTTTCATGAGGAAATTATCAAAAAGGCCCTCAAAGGAGATGGTTTACGCCATGTCTTGGAAAAGGATTCATTGCCTCCTCCTCCTCACCACTAAAGAGTTGCTGTTGTTAGCCGTGAAAAGCAATGGTTTTGCTCTCCAGCTCATGGATGATCATGAACCTCATGTATTGAAGAAGTTTGTTCATACTCATCCCGAAATTGTCGAGGAAGCCATTTGGGAAGATCCATCATGATGGAGAATCCTTCCTTTCGTCCTCGTCATCAGGATTACCCTCACTACCATTACCCTCACTGGTCATGACGAGGACGAAAGGAAGGATTCACTGATTACAAGTATGGTAGTGAGGGTAATGGTGGTGATGGTGATGGTGAATCTAGGTTTTATATTCTCTTTGAACATGTGTTTCGTTCCTTTCCCTTCTTATTGGACAATTGTTGGGAAGAATTTCGATGGAGTCATGAGGAACATATTCAACTCATTCAATTAGCCCTAGAATCATGTCCTGAATGTTAAGAATGTCTGCATGATGATCTGAACCTATCTCATACAAGCAGCGGCTCGAGACAATGAAGTGATCATGATGTTGCTTCTGAATTACCAATTGATGATGATGAGGATGTTGAAAAAGTATTTAAAACCCTTCCATATGGAAGAGTGATTGCACTTTGTGGACAAGCCTTATGTTTTGCTTCGACCGAATACAAGAATCACAAACGAGTGGTTTTGAGAGCCGTTCAAAGTGATGGGTTGGCTCTCGAATATGCAAGTGAAACATTACAGAACGATCCAGAGATTGTTTATCAAGGAGGTGACATATAATGACATACATATTTCAAATATGCCGCAGAAATTTGGGTCGCCATTATATTATGGCATAGAAACTTTATGCCATTATAATCCGACATATTTTTCTGTCCATTAAGGTAAGGAGAGTTACTAAGGATGTAAATTATTTTCTCAAAAAGGAAAAAAATATAATATTATAATCGAAGTGAATACTGTTACATATTTTCCGTGAAAATATTTAAAGTCATCATTGTAATGTAAAATCTACATAATTTTCAGAAACAAAAAAAACTATGAGCACAAATGAACCATCAAATTCAGAACAAAATTGTGTGAGTGGTATGTTGCAGATGCAACTTAATATTGGAGTAACCTTTTGTGCTTCAGAATCCAAATATTCAAACTTGCTTCTCTTGAGAAGATGATTCCACTTGAAATGAACAAGGTTATTCTTTTTCCCAAATGCAACACTTTGTACCATTGGGAAAACTCAACAGGAGACAATGTGTATCAAAGTATACAGTATTCAATTTCTGGAAGGACAGACCGTACTATTACTTTCAAAGGAGAAAAGTGGTCTGTTATTCAAGGAAAATGTCGAGGAGTGAAAAAGTGTTTTGAATGCGGTGCTGTTCATTCAACCAAAACAAAATGGGCTGCTTGTGGTGTAAAGGATTGCAAAGGACGCCCTCAACGTATAACTTGTAGTGTAAAATTGTACTACTTGAAAAAAGATAATGCGAGGTATGTGTTTTTGAGAGGAAATCACACGCATTCTGATCCACCTTCTCGTAAGATTTCTGATGATGATATAATGTTGGTTGAAGCATTTAATCCAAATCCTACTCTTACAAAAGATGTATCGAAAGGTATTGGTGTTTCATTTCTCCCTTTTTTTGGTTAACCCTGCATTGATTAACAAGGATAGAATTGACAATATATGAAAACAGGTACGTTATTTTAAATGAGACGTTTACTTGTCTTTTATAATTAGGCACTTTTAAAAAGATACAATTTGAATCTTCTTGATGGTGAAGATTTCACTAATATTATCAAAACTCAACATGATGAACTATTGGAAGAGTGGAAAAACACGGCTGTGCCTGGACTGTATGTCAATTTTGACACTATTATGGAAGTCTATGTAAGAGAATTTCTTGACACAGATGCTTTTTATGCATGTCATGTTGGTTTTCCCTTCCAAAGCATGGCTATTGTGTCTAGTGATTGCTTTTTCATGGATGTAATGCATAAATCTGCTAGTGGTCCCTGGACCCATCAAATGGGTAGAGTGGTGGAGTAATCAGAACATGATTCATATGCTTATTCATGATTCATCTACATCTCTTCCATCCGACACCAATACCATCGAGTCTCTCAATAGGCATAGTATTGCTACATGTAATGCAAATATGAAGGTTGAGATCGAAATGAATTTCAAAGAAGATGTTGCCTTTTGTCACGTTCTCCTTGCCCAGTCGCATAATATCAAATTTTCTTATCGCAACAATTCTAAGGAGAAGAGAGACGAAAGGAACAGAAGAAGGAAAAATCGCCATGAAGAAAGTCATCCACCAGAACGACGAAATCAAGGAATTGAAACTCAAGGAGAATTAGCTGTGAATTTATTGTCCAAATTCTTGGACGATGTAAATCAACAATCACTGTTTTCATCTTGGTCTTGTGGTCACATGTCGCGACGTTTGAGCGGATCACCCTTTCAAAACGACAAGGAAGTGGTTCTGAATGCCGTTCGAAACGATGGCACTGCTCTCGAATTTGCAAGCAAAAAGTTGAAACAAGATGAACAAGTGATACGAGAGGCCATTCAACAAAATCCATTTGCCATTCTTTATGTTCATGCACGAGTTCCACAGGGACGTGAAATGGTGAAGAATGTTTGCAGAGACAACCTAACATTTATGCCTACGGTCCTTCTAAATTGATTCCAAATACGGATCGAGAATTTGCGTTGGAAGCCTGTCGACTGTGTGGAACTAATCTCGCACATGTTTCTGACGAGTTGAAGAAGGATCGTGAAGTGGTTCTGAATGCCGTTCGAAATATTGGACTTTCTCTAGTTAAAAGACGATGAAGAGATTGTATTGACAGCTGTTTCAGAGAATGGTTTGGCTCTGACAGGTGTCTCAAAACGAATACAATATTCCTTGAAACATGTATTGCGAGCAATGAATACAGAAGATCAATTTGAGAAGTATTGGACACAGTATTGGGAGTCGAAATGGGAAGGATTTTTGAACAAGAGAGTCTGCAGAACAAATTGAAAAGAAAAGCGAATGAAAATGATAATAAGGATCATCCAATTGAGGACTTGGTGGCGGATGATGAACAGAACGCTCCAAATTTGAGAAAATTTCACATTCACACAATGCAATGACACCTTCTGATCCAATATAGTTATTACTCAGATTCAAACTTTTCAATCGACCTAAATGGGAACCTTGAGTGATAAGATCATGTATAAATTTTCTTCCGAAATGGTTCGAACTCAAATTGAGATGAGTCAAATTTGGAAAGATTGTTTGAGAGCTAAAGAAAGATGCTAGTGCTTCACAACATCTTTCGAATATTCCATATTGTCATTAAAATCGTCGTTGCCTTCACAAGAGGTTTTTACTTCATCACAATCCTCCTCGAAACTTGAAGGATGTACATCATTTCCTTCCTTGATTATTATTTCAAACTGTTCCAAACCCTTTATTTGCACTTCTCCAATATTAAGATCAAACAACAAATCTTCTTCTGCTACCTTTATGAAACTCTCAACATGTGGCATGGTATTAAAATTCAATTTGAGAAGCATTCCTCGAGATTCCATTCGAAACCATTTATTCCATTCTTTGCATACCAAATGAATACTTGTAAATACATGTTTAAAATCGATGTAACTCCAAATGTGACAATGCACTTCGGGTGGTAGCATGAAGAACAATTGTTGTTGATCATCGCTACGAGAGGAACTGAAAAGATCTTGCCTTGTCATGACAATCGTGTTTTTTTTGAAAATGAAAGTTTTTTTCCTGGGGTCCTTCAATTCTCAAATTGAGTTCATGATTGTAAATTTCAATTTAAATCGATCTCATTCTTCTAGAAACTTTTTTTTGCAGGGACATAAATCGTGTCCTCGAAGCCCGGAGTGCACTTTCGCTGGCTGTCTTGCTATGACAAGTGGCTAGGTAAATACAAGAATATTTTTCGTGTTGTGGAATCCACCACTCCTTTTCTTTACAATGTACATTTCGAGTAGTTAGTCCCAAAATGGAAAAGAAACAAACGATTCTTTTGAAAAAAATCTAATTAGTTTATTGTTAGCACCATTGGTGCTGGTAAAACTATTAAACGCACGTTCATGCAATGATACTCCGAACGTTTCATCATCATCATCACCAACGATCAATCTTGAACAATTCATTACGGAAAAGTTGAATCTTACCACCTCTTACCTCTTTCCTGCTGGATTATTCTCTCCCGATCGGGTGAATATGCCAGTCTATAACACCACTCAACCTAAACAGGTTCCATTGTATATGATGGCTTTTTCCCAATTTCCTAATGATGAACCGGAGGATGCTGAATACGGGTTTGTAAGTCGTCATGAGGAAGACTCAGATGAATACTTTGAAGAGAGGGAAAAGTACATTACAAATCGAATTTCCTTCTTGATTTACAAGCTTGATGAATTACAATCATTCAGAGACCAGCTGATGGATAAGATGAAGCTATTAATTGCTGAACAACAAGAGGCTTCCAAGTCACAGGAACAGCAAGGTCTCAACTATGAACAAGTGTTACATTTACTTTTAGAACGACTCGATGAAGTACAATTGAAGATAGCAAAGTGTATTCGTGATTATAGTGATGCAGTACATCTGGATGATGAAGATGGTTCTTTAAGTGTTCATTTGAACATGCCAACGATCACAAGTATCGAAACAAAATTAACCTCACATTACTTCTCCAAACTGGATGAATTTACAAGAATGTTGGATGGCGGAGCAGAAACAATGAGTCGCTATCAAGAAATGAAAAAAAAAAGCGGCTCAATCTTCATTACCTAAACCAAGTGAATATACTTCTCCTTTGAGTGCTTTTTGCAAAGAATTTGATTCAAAAAGATCAATAGTTAGTAATTGTTACATGAGTTCACCTCGACGTAGAAATATTGTAGAGGCCAGATGTGACATGGATTGTCGAGTATATACATTTTATCCCAGAGCAAGTTTGAAAAATGCAACCTTGAAGAGTGACATTTATGCTATTCTTGAAAATGATGATGTTAACATATCTGCTGGTAATAATTTAACAAAGTTTTCAAATACAAGGATGAAAAATACAGACTATTGTTCCATCGATGCAGAACGACGTCGTTCCATATTCCTCTCCAACTCTACAAAGATCACAAGCTTTGAAATTGCCGAAAACAAAATGGGAAAGGAACAATTTTCAATCACACGACCATCAGAAAAAGTATTTTTCGGACGACACGTTTGCGAAAAGGAAATCTCTATTGTATTGATCAAAAGTTCCCATTCTATTACACCATACCAGTTTCAAATCCAAATACTATTCAAACAACAAGAATTTCACTTCTTGAAAAAACGCAAAGTGCATTCAAACTTGATTATCATGCTGCTCGAGACATGTTATACATTTTATTGAGAACTGTTGTTTTGCGTGTGGACATGGGAAGAGAATGTCAAACCTACATGACTGGTTTTGGTCACAACGCAACTGACATTGTATTTACAAATGACTTGATTGCCATTTCATGTTATGACTCTCTCGTTTACTTGTTTGATGCACGAACAAAATCCATTCCAACCATGAAGTTAAAAGGACATGGAGAGAATGTAAATGCATGTGAAATCGCAAACATTGATGGAACACCATTTGTTTTCAGTGGTGGTAAAGATCAATGTATTAGAGTTTGGGATATTCGGATGCAAGTACCATTGTATGAGCTTTCTGCTGGAAACAATGTTGTCACAGGCTTACATTGGCATGACGCATCTTCGACATTATTATGTGCCACCAATTATTGGCCAGAGTTTTCAGATCAGGATTATGATGAAAGTGATTGGAATTCCAATGCTTACCACTCAAAAACTCACTTTGCCAAGCATTTTCACCTTGAAAGAGGTGCTTTTGTGTGTTATCAATTTAAGGATATTATTGAAGGAAACAAGTTAGTGCAACAAACACGAACAACAAAATCTTCACCAACCAAAAGCAAACACCACAAAAGAAAATAATCTTGACATTTTTCAACTCCTCAATCTGTTTCTTCAGATCTCCATGATGGACTTCAAACTGATGAAAGCTCAGTAAAAATCCAAATCTAATTGTTCGTTGTTGGATTCCTTATTACTGATACATGATTTTGAAAATCAAAGAACTTGGTACTGCTTAAAAGGATCATGAATGATCAAGATAGATTTATTTAACAATTTAATTTAAATGAACAACATTATAAAGAAATTGGATTCAAAACTTCAAAAAAATGTCAGATTATGGCCATATCGATATTATTTTCCATTCTTTTCTTTTGCTTTTTCTTGAGTGATTCGTTCCCTGATTTCATCCCAATTTACTTCCATTTCTTGGAATTGTAAAAATTCGGGTTTAGTTTCCTCTTGACCTGATTCTGCTAAATACTTTCTCCGATAGGCAATCACCGTGTCAATATGAACTTTGAATCGTTTGGCCAAATCCAACGCACGTTCCCATTTGAATAATTTAATGTGCATTTTGATGGCTCTATAGATTAGCCGAGCTTGCAGCAAAATTGACTCTGCCTCTTCAATGTTCCTCATAAAGAGAGACAATGCTGCATTTTTGCCTTCTTGTGATGGAATTCTCTTGATTTTGGAAATGTATCGCAATTTGTCAACTTCTTCAAGAGCGGCCAAACCAACCTCTGCAGTATTGAGTTGATTCAATTTAATGGCCATTCCGACCAACGTTGCCCATATTGCCTTATCTTTAACAAATCGACACAACCGAATAGCTTGTTCCCACTTCTTATTTTCAATCAACTCGTACAATATGATGGGATAAGGATGAACAGCCTCAGTAATGACTGTTCCATCCACCCGTCGAATGTTAATTTTGGTGTCAAAGAAATCATGAATGGTAGATTGTTTACCAATGTCATCCTTCTCAAACCTTACATAGGGAAGCAAGTCTCGATCAACATAGACAATTCTTGGATAGTAGAAAATAATGAGCTGACCACCAGAAATTACTGAGAGCATGTCGGTTTGATCATTCCACATGGCAGAGTCTACCATAGTGGCTAATTTGAAAACATCACTTGGTTTCTTAGCTTGGCTAATATACAAATCACGGTTTCGGTCAATGAATGCAATACACCGGTCAGTCTTAGATCCAAATTGACTCACTTCCACTTGAACAATCTCCATATTATGCACGAGTTTGTCCAACTCCTTTCCACTCGTAACATCAAGAATTCTTATTGCTGTGGATTTTGCTTCCCCTTTGTCAATAATAGCAATAATGTCGTCACTCAAAGATACCGAGTAACTATTCAAAAACTCGGTCCTTAATCCTGAAAATTTTGGATTGCTCGTCAACCTTCCTTCATAATTATAGATTTGAATACCGCTGAAATTATCCATGGTTACGAAGGCATTTTTTGATTGCAGTATGAGATTAATATTATCTTTGACATCGAACACGTGAGGAGTGCTCAAATTCTTAATATCATAGACCCAGATTTGGCTCCATGTAGCTACAATTAATTTTCCAAATCCCAACGACCAATTAATAACCTTGTCACGGAATGTTAAATCTTCAGATCCCTCTGAAACAAGATCAAATACTTTCAAGGTAACATCATTTTCGAGAGTGATCAGTAAATTCTTCCAAGCCAATGATTTACCCACAAGGTTTCCAAAGCATACTCTCCCACTTCCTCCCGCTGCTGCTAATTGAGTTCCATCACTGGTCCATGAAATATCCATGATGGCTCCAGTGTTGTTGGTGGTTACTCTTGAGATGGTCCATCCTGACTTGTCACACACTTTTAAGGTATTGAAAGAACCTGCTGCAAATAATTCACCATTGGGTGACCATGAAACACTTGTAATGCTGTAATCAAAAGGAGCACTCGAGTATAATAGCCTTCCAAAATTGTCCCACACCTTGTATTTTCCATCTTCTCCTCCACTGACAATCATATTTGTAAGAGGATTCCAATCCACTTTTAAGATTTGAGCGTCATGTGCTTTCCATTGTATTTGTTTAGAAGAAACATGAATAGGTTTGATCACTAAATCTCTTCCATTCGTAAACAGAACTTCTTCACTGGATGGACCCCATGCTACCGAGTATACACTTTTTCCTATACTTGCCAGAGTTGATCGGAGCTGACCACCTCGTGACCAAATTCTCAAAACACCATCTTCTCCTGCTGTGACAAGTGCATTTCCTTCATAACTCCAACGGACCGTAACCACGGCTCCTTTGTGTGCATTTGCAACAGTTTTTTCGACTCTTCCAGTTTTCGACATTAATCGGAATGAGCCATCGGCACAGCTCACTGCAAAAACATCCGATGTGCTTGAAGCAAGTTTTTTGCTATAGGAAGGAAACCAGTGCATGTCCGTTATTAATACATCGAGATCACATAATTTAGATAAGGGTTCTCCATTCAAATTCCATCTCCAAATTTGTTTATCATCGGCAATACTATATAATTGATTTTCTCCTCTAGACCATCCAACACAAGTACAAACATTCTTGTCTGTACGGTGAAGTTGTATATGAAATTTTGAGCAAATTATTCATGATATTTATACACCCAAATCATATTTGGCGATGATATCGGAAGAGCACAAACCATGCCAGAAAGTGATTAAATTTGAATGGCCAGCGATTGGAACGTGATAAGAATCATACATCAATCACTTACGTTGTTGTACAGCATTTTCTGTCAGTTGCAATCTCATCGCTCAAGCTTTTTGGTTTTATATATTTTTTTCTCGTTTACATGTTGTAAATTTTG